TTTTTAAAGGCACTGCTGTTTTACTTAATGCATCCATTTTCTGCTTAATGATATGATACCAGTAAGCCTTCACCAGTGGTACAAGGCTGTAAAATAAATGAAATAGAAACTAAAATTGTGACGCTGTTATGCCCTCTATCGTCCATTACAGTTGATGAACCCAAGAGGGCAGTAAAGGTGCTGAAAGCTGTGAGAAAGCAGATATCTCCTGTCCTGAAAAAGGCACATCTTAATGTTACAAAAACAGGTAAATAGCTTTGTATTAAATCAACAATCAAAAGGAATCAATCATTGTTAAACAAACTGAAGTGTTGTCTTTGTCACAAACTCAGTCTACTGGAGTTACACTTTGTATAGAGTTACTATGGTTACTCATTTAATGTAAAGCTATGATAAGCTAATGAGTTATATTTCTAAATGATCTCCAACAGTAGAGGTTTCTGAAGGTCCTAAGCTGAAAGCCAAAGCTGAACCAGAAAAGAAGGGTATGGACATTTTACTTTTAATTTCTTTAGGAATATAAATAATCTGATGCTGTTATTTCAAAATGTATCAATCTTAATCAACCAACTCAAGCAATAAGTGTAAACAAATAAAAAAACATCCATTAGATATTTTGGATCTTTTTTTGGTTTCTAAAACTGACTTTCTGGAAATCTGGAAAAAAAAACAGTTTTAGAGAAAAGGATTCAATTGAGTTAGTATATAATTTACATTAATCTTGATATAAATGTCGTATAAATGACTCTTGGATTTTCTTTTTTTTTTACCAGTGGCAGCTCCAAAACAGCCGAAGGAACTGAAAGAAAAAACCAAACCACCTGTAAAGACAGGTAATGACTCTCTCACTGTTACTGTGTTTAATGTGAACATAAAAAGTTAATCATATAAAGACAAAGCTGTTTTTTCACTTTGTGACCTTTATTTTTTTTTTGACACAGAACTTCCAAAAGAAAAAGCTAAAGCAGCACCTGCTAAGAAAGGTAACAGAATCTTTATTTGTATAGCGCAATTCATAACAAATGTTATCTCAAGACACTTTACAAAGAGCAGGTAAAATACATTACTCACTGTTTTAATATCAACAAAGACCCACCAGGAGCACTAAGCAACATTTAGCAAAGTTACAGTGGCAAGGAAAAACGTCCTTTAAGAGGCAGAAATCTTGGGCAAAACCAGACTCATGATGAACAGCCGTCTGCGTTTTCAACACCAAAGAAGAAAAAGAGACTTTTTATTATTGCTGATAAAATCAAACTTTGTGTTTTTGTCACACAGAAGCTGCTGCTCCTAAAGAAAAGGCCAAACCAGTTGTCTTGAAAAAAGGTAAGAATAGCATATTTAAAACACATCAGTTATTACAACAAACTATAACTACATGATGAACAGTCAACATACTGATGTGTATTTTATTTCCATGTTTGTGCTAACAGGACAAGAGGACGCTCCCAGAAATGTCTCTGTGGTGAAACCCAGAGTCAAAATAGTGCCGATGAAAATGGGTATTTTCTTTGGTTCATATTTGTCAGATCATCTCAAGTTTTTACATCGCTGAACTTTCAATCCTTTTCACGCACCTATTTTTATGTATGTTCTCAGAAGTCAAGCCTCTGAAAGAGAAAGTTAAAGCGGGTTCTAAAAAGACTGGTGAACCACATTTTAGCCTTTTTAAAATCCACATTAAAAGTTTGCTTTCTGATACTTACTGCCTGTGTTTCCCCCCCAGCAGCCGAGGTTTCAAAACAGAAGCCCAAACCAGTTTTAACAAAAAAAGGTGGGGCATATTTGTTAAAGCTGTATCATTCTAATGACACGTTATTTTCTAGACTAACAAACCCTTAAACTGTATCCACGCAGAATCTGCTCCTCTCAAGACTAAAACAGCTACAGTAGTCAAAGGTACGAGGATGGAAGTCAACATTTTTTTTCAATTTGTTATAACGAAGCAGTGCATTGATTTTACTTTTTTTTTTGGTCTTTTTGCAGAGGCAGAAGTTTCACACAGAAACGTCTCCCTGACAAAGGAGAGGGTCAAGGTCGTACCACTGAAGAAAGGTAAGTCTGTTTACCCAGTAACTGAAATATTCTTTAAGCTTACCATTTACTTTGATTTAACGCTCAACATCCCTGACTGTGTTTGAAAAAAAAGACACACAAAATCACGACTTTCCACTAAACGCTGTAAGATTTTCTTTCCAGCCATCCCTAACTGTTTCTCCCTTATATTGTTGTCTTTCATAGTGCCTGTAACTCCAAAAGTAAAAGTCAAACCAGCAGCAACAAAGAAAGGTAATTACAGCTACTACACCATTTTCACCAATCAAATGCCATCACTTATATGTAAATTACTTGTTTCATTTTGAAGTTTTTATTGTGAATGCTTGAATCAAGTGTCATAAAAAAGATGTGCTTAAAGGAAAAAACATTGGTCTTAATGATCCAGGTCCAGGCACTCAGGGTGCTTTGAAAAGTATAAAAGGCCTTTTGTTATATGCCAACCGTGTCAGGTTGCCTGTAAAACAATTAATAACTGAACGTGTTACCATATTGTAAGACAATAATAGCATGGTTTACAACAGCATGACTCGTAGTAAACAAGATAACACAGTCCCAACATTCAATTCATGACTCTACTACAGAGGTCACTGTAGGCCAAAATACACAACACTTTCATTCTTAGAGCTAGAAACATTTGAAATACACCAACGTGTTTTTGGCTTGTGCCTGCATGTCAATACACCCTGAAGATGTGTCAGGAACTTGGAAGAAACTAAGTGATGAAACAAAGGGCTTGAAATAACTGGCTTGACTGATATTTTGGTCGTTTTCATTTTCCCGGGTAGCTGAAGTTCTCAAGGAGAAGAAGGTCGAGCCAGTGACACCCACAAAGGGTTTGTTTTTCCACTTGTTTCAAAATTAATTGTTTTTATTCCCCTCCCATCAGATTGTACTTGTCTTGCAGTTGTACCTTTCCATGTATACTCTAAATTAGAATATATAAAGCCATGTATTTTTCTAGCGCCTGTCGTCAAAGCGAAACCTAGAGCTGTCGAAAAGAAGAGAGGTATGCAGCAGACGTGTGTTTCTGTTGTGGTTGAGTAGCTACAAACATGGCTGCTGATTAAATTCTTATCCACGCTGACACATAATGATGACTCAGCTCAAAAGAGAAAGTTTATTCAATTTTAGATTTGTTCACATTCACATGCTACAAATTAATTTTAATGAAGGACTAAAACCGACTTAACAACTAGAAGGTTTAGAATATTTAGAAGATGCATGTTTTTCATCAAGGTCACATGTTTGTTGTAGCTGCATTGTCTTTAAATAAACTGCATTAGTTGTAAATGAGATATGCTTCAGTAACATGGACACCAGCTGCTGGGGTTGACCAGATTGTCTGACTTATTTTTACTTTTGTAGCTGAGGCTCCCAAGGAGAAGAAGGCCAAGCCAGTGACTCTGACAAAAGGTGAGTCTTTTTTTTCAGATATTTCACAATGTGCTCTCTTGAATGTTTTGAATTTGGACTGCAGTACTCATTTTAAACACTAGGTGTCAGAGTTACATATTGCTCCTTTAATATGATTAACAAGGTCAATCTGAAGGAATGTGTCATGTAAATACGGATTATTTTAATTTAAATTTGGTCTTTTTTTTTTTTTAACTAAATTAGGACATTGACATGTTTTTCTATAAAATGCTAGATTTGTTTTCTTTGGTATTTTACAAAGATGTCGTACTTGTGATAGCTGCGTTCGGAAGTGTAAAATCTTTTCTGCACAAGAAGCGTCTGAAAAAGAGCTATTTTGACATTTTAGATAATATTCTGAAAGTCAAGACTAAAACCTTGAGAAAGTGCTAATTTGATGTAGTGTCATTAAACTAGAATATAGTGTATGTGCAGTTTCTACTGTAAAGGTTAAAAATACAGTAAAGAGCAGTAAACAACTTTTATGTCATGTATGAGTGTTTACTGATTCTCCCACTCGTTTGTTGTCTTCTTACAGAGGCAGAAGTTTCACACAAGAATGTCTCGCTGACAAAGGAGAAGGTCAAGGCTGTGTCGCTGAAGAGAGGTGTGTCTGTTTTATCACAGCTCTTTATTTGTATCATCTCGACCACTACAGTGGGTTTTTTTAGTTTGTTAACTACTTAACGTTCATTTAGAGTCATAGATGTGAGTTTGAAACCATCCTGAAAATGTTACACTGCATTTTATTTTCTTCAACAGCATCTTTTCATGCACTGAAAACATTCACTGTCATTTCTTTCATAGAAGCTGTCACTCCGAGAGAGAGAGTCAAACCAGCAGCAACTAAAAAAGGTAGATACTCTCATTTCACCTGTTCATCATCAAATTCACCCTCATCATTTTAGTGTTATAATTTAATTCCAATTGTCTGTTCATTTAAATGTGGTCGGCTGTGGTTCAGTTGGGCGAGTCGGTCGTCTCTCAATCGAAAGGTCAGGGGTTTGATCCTGAGCTCCTGCAGCAACATGTCCGATGTGTCCTTAAGGGCAAGACATTTAATCACAAGTTGCTCCTGCTGCTTCGTCAGTGGTGTATGAATGGGATTAGTTACTTTCTGATGGTCACTTCACGCAGCAGCCTCTGCCATCAGTGTGTGAATGTGTCGGTGTGACCTGCGGTGTAAAAAGCACTTTGAGTGGTCAAAAGACTAGAAAAAGCACTCTACAAGCTCAAGTCCATTTACCATTTCAAAAAGTATAGTGTGTGGTTTCTTGACTTCATAAATCCACTCAGTTATAATAAGATGGACAGAAAGTCGACTGACTGTTGTTTTCATTCGTTCAGTGGTCGAGAGTCTCAAGGAGAAGAAAGCTGAGCCGGTGACTCCCACAAAAGGTTCGATTGTCTGTTGCGTTTTTGCTGATTTTGTTTTTGCAGATTGTACTTTACTTTATTTAAACATTATAAATGTTATACATTATAGTATTTCAATGCTAGTTCATTTAGGATTTCTCTCTTCACTGTGTGCAGTAGAATTAATAGGACATGTATTTTTCTAGCACCTGTTATCAAAGCGAAACCTAAAGCTGCTGAAAAGAAGAAAGGTATGCAGCAGACGTGTGTTTCTGTTGTGATTGAGTAGCTCTATAGATGTGGCTGCTAATCCACTCTACATGCTTTATAATGAAATGTGATGAAACGTAACAAGTCATGTAGGACTAGGATAATACGCTTCTCGTGTTTCATGGCGTCTCTGTGACATGTTGTCTTGTTTCGTTGATGTAGAAGCTGTGCTGAAGGAAAAGGCAAAACCCTCCAAGAAAGGTGCAGATGGGTTCACTTTCTGTATCTAATATTCTTTAGACCACGGAGTTAGAGCAATTTCATTTTTTATAAGATTATAAAGTTTTAAATCGAGCCTGACCGATTCATCGGCCAGCTGATAATATAGGCCGATATTAGCATGTTATGCGACTATGGGTATCGGCTCATTTTGTCGCAGATATGGGCTGATATTACTTGACTTATTCACCAGTCAAATAGCATTTAATTTAAGTTTTATGGTATTACACTAGCAGTTCTCTTTCTGGCTGTCACCAGCAGAGGGCGCTATACGGATTACAACGATCATCATCACTCTCCAGAGTGTCCAGCCTTGATGCACGTACATGCACAGTTACTTTCCAGTTATCCTGTCTATGTTATACTGTTAATCTTTTCAACAAGAGTTGGATGATTCCATTTGAGGGATAATCACGATAAATGTCAATATGTCCAATATCTCTACAGATCGAACACTGATCTAAGAAAGATGTCGGCCAATATATCGGTATCAGATTTTTTTCCTCTCCAATATCAATATCGGTATCGGCTTCAAACATCTCATATCGGTCGAGCCCTGGTTTTAAAAAATTACAGCAACAGCACAGGCTGAAGCATCTTCTAGAAATTAGATATATCAAAAAGACAAAAACATTTCAATACTTATATTTTCTCCTTTCTTTTTAGAAGCTGAGGCCAAACCAGCTCTCTCTAAGAAAGGTAAAACAGAAATAACTCACCTTAATGTTGGGGGATTCATTAAAGAGGTTTCTGTTAATAAACTGAACTGTCCTGTGTTACACTCAGCAGCCGAGGTGAAGGAGAGGCCGAAGCAGCTCACGAGAAGAAAGGTGAATGTTAAACACACATGGAGAAGAAACTAAACTTTATGTTTTTGAAGTTTAGTTTTTACGTTTGAAACCGTTTTTTTTATTTGAATTAGCTCCGTCTAAAACAGAGGCTGAAACAAAGATGATCGAATCGCTCCTAAAGAAGAAAGGTAGCGCCCTGCTGCAAAAAAGAATATTATTTTAAGAATATTTATTTTAAAGAATATTATTTGTAATCAGATTATTTTTTAAATATTGTAACCAGATTACACTCTAAAAACGTAATCACATAATCTGTAAACGGAAGTTTTTTTTTTATCTGGTTACTTAAATAATGTAATCAGATTTATTTTAAGATTGTAATCAGTTTCCACTAAAAATCTAATAAAATTACTTGTGATCAGATTATGTTTTAGTCATCAGATTACTTTAAAGATTGTAATCAGATTACTCTGAACAGTCATAATATCACCGTGGTAACAGGATTACCTAAGAAATGGAAAACTGAACACTTGTAATCATATTACTTTTCAAATAATAATCAGATTATTTGTTTTCAGATTACTTTTCAGTCATAATCTGATCACTTGTTTTCAAATAGCTGCGTTAATTATAATTACATTTATCAGTTTAATAGATTTCATTATTTAATTATGATCAGCTTTCTTGTGTTTAGACTTCTATTGGAACTGTAATCAGATTGCATCACATTTTAAAATTGTATTCAGAGGACATGTCGTTAATTTGTGATTCTTCTAGAGTCTCATCGAAAGTAATTTAATCAAATTCAATGTTGTAAAAAAATGTCTGTGAAGGTTTTCATTTTTTTCAGAGGAAAGAGTTCTTAAAGAGATTCAGGAACCTGCGATAAAAGGTACTTCTGAATGTTGAGAAACTACTCTCTGAATATTCTGACATCATCTGCGGAGCTTTGATTTAATTTTCTCAATGTTGCTTCATTTGTTGCAGAAAAAACTGTGGAAAAGAAAGTTGCCAAGGAGGAGAAAGTGAAAGGTACCGTGTGTGGAGCTGTAGTTTTAAAGTAATCTTAAATGGAGTTGTTTGATGGTTAACATCTTTTTTTTCTTCTTCATAGCTGAGCCTTCTGTGTCAGACAGCCTTCCCATGGACGGTAAGTCTCAAGACATCACCCACACTGGCACACTGCCCTCTCCGTCTTCTCTCTAACAGGGGTGTGTCCAGACTTTTTTAACTGGGGAACTGATTTATACAGGGGTGGCCTGAAGTGTGATGTTTGGCACAGACACACACAAATAAGTATCAATGATTTACCCTATCTTACCTCACCAATAACAATGACTTTATAACACAAGATAATGGCAACATTAGTTAGTTCATTGCAAGTAAGTTTCTATTTACAATTTAAAGTACAAACAAAAGAAAATATGCTACATTGATATTTAAAGAAAAACTGCTAGAAGCCTTTGGCAAAAAATACCTAATAGCTGGTTTTAACATAAGACAGAAAAACAGCCAATCACAGTTTAGGATTTTTGGGGTGAACCTGGATTGACCAATCAGATTTCTGAGGACACGCCCCTGCTCTCTATGGTGTGAAGAGCCACATTGTACTGAGCTGTCCTGTACTAAACTGTTACTGTCCCGTACTAAACTGTTACTGTCCCGCACTAAACTGTTACTGTCCCGTACTAAACTGTTACTGTCCCGTACTAAACTGTTACTGTCCCGTACTAAACTGTTACTGTCCCGCACTAAACTGTTCCTGTCCCGCACTAAACTGTTACTGTCCTGTACTAAACTGTTCCTGTCCCGTACTAAACTTTACTGTCCTGCACTAAACTTTACTGTCCCGTACTAAACTGTAACTGTCCCGTAATAAACTGTTACTGTCCCGTACTAAACTGTTACTGTCCCGCACTAAACTGTTACTGTCCCGTACTAAACTGTTACTGTCCCGCACTAAACTGTTACTGTCCTGCACTAAACTTTACTGTCCTTTGCTAAACTTTATTGTCCTGTACTAAACTGTTACTGTCCTGCACTAAACTTTACTGTCCTTTGCTAAACTTTACTGTCCTTTGCTAAACTGTAACTGTCCCGTACTAAACTGTTACTGTCCTTTGCTAAACTTTATTGTCCTGTACTAAACTGTTACTGTCCTGCACTAAACTTTACTGTCCTTTGCTAAACTTTACTGTCCTGTACTAAACTGTTACTGCCCCGTACTAAACTGTTACTGTCCTTTGCTAAACTTTACTGTCCTGTACTAAACTTTACTGTCCTGTACTAAACTGTTACTGCCCCGTACTAAACTTTACTGCCCTGTACTAAACTGTTACTGTCCCGTACTAAACTTTACTGTCCTTTGCTAAACTTTACTGTCCTGTACTAAACTGTTACTGCCCCGTACTAAACTTTACTGTCCTTTGCTAAACTTTACTGTCCTGTACTAAACTGTTACTGTCCCGTACTAAACTTTACTGTCCTGCACTAAACTTTACTGTCCTTTACTAAACTTTACTGTCCCGTACTAAACTGTAACTGTCCCGTACTAAACTGTTACTGTCCCGTACTAAACTGTTCCTGTCCCGTACTAAACTTTACTGTCCTGCCCTAAACTTTACTGTCCCGTACTAAACTGTAACTGTCCCGTACTAAACTGTTACTGTCCTGCACTAAACTTTACTGTCCTGCACTAAACTTTACTGTCCCGTACTAAACTGTAACTGTCCCGTACTAAACTGTTACTGTCCCGTACTAAACTGTTACTGTCCCATACTAAACTGTTACTGTCCTACTCCCTCCGCAGACGAGATGCCCTACTTCCAGTGTTTCTTTGTGGATGAGGACGAGGCCCAGTTTCCGTTCTACGCCTTTTCACCTCTGCACATTTGAAGCTTCAGCCTGAATCACGTCTGAGGTTTACGATTGATAACGTGGTGTGTCGCCCTGCACTGTATAAATGCGGCCTGCTGTTCACTGTTGGTCGTCAGCAGAATACCTCTGACAGCAGCGGAGGAGGACGGGTTACTTTCATGTGATGGACCGATTTTTTTTATTTATTTCCAGATTTGGTTGAGCTCTCGTAACCAAACGCGCAGCCAGTGTCATTCCTTTCTGTCTTTTTCTTTAATACCTTTTTTTTCACTTCATTTGAGACGTTGAGATTATTCTAAAAGGAACCATTTATTATTTTAACTTTTTTTTGGATCATTCATTTAGCTCCTGACAGCAAACAATGCATAACTGAATAAAATGGTGCATTTTTATAGAAGTGTAGAGTAAGTTCAACTGTACTGTAAACGGGGTACAAAAAAAGGTCACAGGTGACGTATGAGAGGGATAATGGATTAAATGCCTCTAAGAACACATTTACTTGAAGAGTGTACAGTTGTACATTTTTACGCTCAGTCTGTTTAATTTTAGCTTTTTTTTTCCTCATCGCATTGTGGAAGGCAAAGTTCATAACGCTACATTTGTCCTGCTTTTCAAGCCATTGGATTAATATTCAGGCTTTTTGTGTAAATTCCATTATTCATGATATTTTTCATTTAATCCTTTCATTTCTTCCCTAATGGGAACCAACAAAGGAAGTGTTTTTTGTTTGTTTGTGTCCACTTGTTATGTGTTAAAAGGAATGACCATGCACTGTATATGAGAGCTCCCAATCCTGCCGATGTAACACTACCTATGAAGTCTTATTAAACTACACCATGACGCCCATTTGATGCTACTTGTTTTAGTCGACAGGATGACCAGTATGAGTTCTTTCTTGCACAAAGACTATTTTCAAACTGGGACATCAAATGTAGGGTACATGAGATGAGTTTTTATTGTCAGTCACAGGATGACTGTTGCGACAACGTCGACCAAACACTGTCACTAACTTTGGTCAGTGGCTGTTAGCTTGAGTGCACAACATAGTCCGCCCATGTATACGAGCAACTAGTTGTTGTGATTATTTAACACATCACAGAGCGTGTGTCTCATACAGGAGCATCCCTTTAATGATGCTTCTATGAAAGATAACAGGATTTCATTTACAGTTTAGTGAATATCCTGTGCATGGGGTGTGTGATATGGCTTTCATGATGATTTTAAAGACTGAAACTGGACAAAGATAAAGTCCATGTCCTGAATTTGAAATCTCTGAAGAATGATGTCAAGAGAGCTGCGAGACTCGGCTCCTCTTAAACCTTTATGGTACAAGCTGAATGTTTTTTTACGTCGACGTTACCTTAAACCTTAAATAGTACATTAACTCTGTGATGATGTCTGCTCATCATGTGATTACAATTCAAGATTCTGCAAAGGGCATCACATGTTGGAGCAGAAGATCTCAGGTATAAAGTCAGCTGTTTTCATACAGCTCTTCATACGACGACACTCCAGATTCTGCACAGTTATTTTAGCTTGTGTCACTTATACCAGGGCATACTGGAAAAGTAAACCCACTTATGTTTTTATTACAATCATAGAAATGCTCTATTAGAACATGATTGGTGCGTAAGACTTCTGCAGAGCACAGTGAGCCCTGGCTCTTGAGTTTCAGGTTGATGCTGCACTGTCACGTTGTCTGTTAGTTCCCAAAATGTACGAGGAACTGAGCACGATTTTTTTTTTAAATATTCATATTGAGTTCATTTGTTTTAGTTTATGCATTGAAGTCATGGAGATTTGTTACATTGTGACAAAAGATACAACATGTATTTTATTTATTTTCACTGAGTTGTATCTACAGCCTCAAACTTACCAGGTAAACATGTGCAATCCCTTTATTTATTTTTTAAATCTCTCATTGATCTAAGCACTGTACGATTGTCTGATAGTCCTCGATTGAAATGTGCATGATGTGTGTGCTTTTGTTTTATGCTTTCAGATGATTTTGTGACATTATTTCCCGATTTGGATAAAAGGCAGCAACAAAGACGTGAAATGACTGATCAGGCTATTTGAACCAATAACTGATATTTGTCAGGCAGCGGTGTTTCTAACATGATACCTGACAAACTTCATTGAAAGTATTCCTACATGATCTCATTGTAAATAGGCAAATCATTTGAAAATAGAGTTGCTCCCTGAAATCAGACGATGTATCAATTTGTCCATTACATCTGCCTCCTGCCTGTGAATAGTAGCAATTTGACATTAAAACATAGAAGAGCACGAGTGTCTTTGAGTCTCGCCTTTCTCCAAAAGTTCCAATAAGAGCGTTCAAACAAACAGAAGTCTATCTGTTACCCAGTGGGTTTCATTTCTTTCTCCGTTTTGGCACCAAAATGGGAGCCAAGTGCTATTGTCTAGAACAAAACATAAATTGCAGAAGGACATTATCTCTACTATAACTCCTGTATTTGGGTTACTCGTATTTTCATGTGACTTCCAGGGGCTTTAAAAAAGGATTTAAGAAATCCTACAGGACCCCCCGCCCCCCCTCATCAAAGCAATTGATGTACTAGCCACAAAATAATCTCCTTTAAAATGAAAAACAAATTTATTTTAATCCTGCATATTTTAGATTTGAGTCATTCATATAAATATGTTTTTTTTATTTTCTACAGGTTTTATTTTTGACATTTTGTTTCAAATATCTGTAAACAGCTCGGTTTGTTGTGCGGGAGTCTTTTTAATCCCACTCATCTGATTTGTTTTTTTCATATTTTTTAAGTCTTTTGTCTTAAATAAGTCACATTCTTTTGATAAGAAGTGTAAAGAAATATCAAATTATTATTATTTTTTTTTTTATACTTTTTAAAAAAAAATTCAAAGAGTTGCTTCATTTATATGGTTGTTTCATTTCAACATGTTTTTGAATGAATCAAAAAATAAATTACCCCCAAGAAAAGAAGCAGCAATTTAAGAAATATCAAATTAGATCCCCTAAATCTAAAATGTGTGAATCTTCTCTTCATGTTCTCCAGATTTCCAAAGTACAAGTCCTTTCTCAGTTTGATTTATGTGTTTTTAATGAGAAAGACAAACGGAGAAGAATGTGCAGAGGATGATCAGGTCTGTGTTCTGTATTTCCCTTTGTGAGGCCAAAGAGGCCAGAGAGCGGTTACCACAGGTCAGTCCACACCGCTAACACAGATTCCACACAAACGCACAAAGAGGAGACTCCCTCCGCTTGCCTTTTGGGGGGGGCGGACAGAAGACGCTACACTCAACTATTATCCCCTGCTGAGTCTCCAACATGGCATGCTTTTCAGTGGGCCTGTGCTGCTGTGAATATCGTGACATGAACTGGCCTGGACTTGTCCATTAACTGTTTTCACCCACATATTTATGCAAATTAATCCGGCTCACAGTAGAGGTATTATTTTGGCAGACTGCGATTTGAGCATACACATAGGTTTTAATTGAAATTAATTCAATGGGCAACAAGCAAATGAGTTCCACTCCAGTTACCACGGTTTCTTTGTGTCGCACGCTATTCAGAGGTGAGCAGAAACTTGGCAGAGTGTTTCCTGGGATGAGAAGAATGGCCATTTGTAGTGGCAGCATTCAGCAGGCTGGACACAGCTCGCAGGGCAAGGGAGGATTTAGCTTAGCTTCTTAAACTATGGGAAAGATAGAGGATGCATGAGGGGACTTTAAAATTAACACTTTTTTCTCAATGACACAGAGACAAACAGTGCAGCACTTGAGGTTGTGACTTTGACCGACCAAGTGAGAGTTATCGGATTGATACAAACTGTCACATCCTGCTCAGTCTCTTCTTATCACCTTGTCTGTCATCTGTCATGCGAGCGGCAGCATTCAATCACGGTTGGTCCACACACCATCGAATGATTCCTCTACGTAATGACACCACAACTAAAACCGGATTATCCCGAGGCCAGTGACATCATTCCTCCCCCAACCCCCTCCTGCTCCTAGCCGTCTCTGACCATCTGGAGGTTACTACAGGACGTTCACTCCCACAAGTTCAGTTTGTCACACTGGCTGCTGCTGCTGCCGCTGCACGGCCGGCTCTGGCCTGCACAGTCACCCTGCAGCTGTCACCTGGAACCGACCCGTTACAGGGAGAGCACTGTTCCCACAGTTCAGGGTGAAATGTTTGAAAGAGAAATGTAGGGCTGCATTAGAAGTAACACCCTGATGGGAAGAGAGAGCCAGAGTGGTGCTGATGGAGCTCTTGGGACTGAAAACTGAAAAGTCTGAGACGGAGAAAAGTTATGTCAAGTAGTTTATTTTTTCCCTTTTCATGTTTGATACAGAGAATGAAACCGTTTTTGGATCTTCACATTCTGAATTTCTTACAAAAGGTCTTACAAAAGATATCCCAAAATATTCATCACATGTTAAAACAACAAATCCAGTGCAAATCACTGCAAAAAAAACATGTTTGTTTTTTTTGTTACAAAAGAAAGGAGAACAACTTGTTGATTATTCATTGTGCAGTATGATTTGCTCAGCCTTGGTTTAGTTAGGCTTTTTCATATGTGCGGACCGCCTCGACTCCCTCATAAGTCAAAGTCTGTAAAGAAGAGAGAAAGAAAAAGACAGCCTATGTTACATGATGGACGTTAACATTTTCATGCAAAACCTAGAAACCCTGCTGTCTGTATGAAGAGCCAGTTTTCTGCCGCCCATTTGACTCGGACGAATTGAATTTACCCAATGCACATCTGAGGCAAGATGAACCATGCATACCATAAGTGCTTTAAAAATGTTCTTTCTGCACCAAATGTTAAATATAACCACAATGACAGGTCCAAAGGAAGATTTCTCTTGACTTGTCTCTGCATAGAATTGTGTTTGTAAAGTCAACTTACCATCACCATCTTCCCGTCCTTGATCTCTCTGACAAATTTTGTCTCCTTGCCATCCCACTTCTGCACATGCACAAGTTTATCTCCGTCCATGGTAAAAGTAGACTGCAGGCACAGGCACAAAATGTATTAAAATAAATCTCTGGACGGTCAATCTACAGCCATGACTTGTATCAAGTGAACTCACTTTGACATGTCGGTCATCAGGCGTGGTCTCATCAAACTCCTCTCCCAGTTTGGAGGAGATCTCAGTGTTCTTAAAGGTGCTCTGGGTTTTCACCACCACTTTGTCCCCATCCTGGCTGATCACTACTGTTGGTTTGGTGACATTGCCCACCTGCCTTGTAGCAAAACCAACACCTGTATATAAAAAATATATTATTATAAAGCTGTTATTTTAGTAATACATTTTGCTGGCAATTTTTTTTTAAAATTTTTTTAAAGGAAAATATTTCAAATAAAATAGGAAATATTTAAGCCAAATAAATGTCAAAAAATATCCCAGAGACAAAGAAAACAACAACGTCAACAATATTTAAAATTAAAAAAAATATATATATATATCTTACCAATTGCCTTCATATATTCATCAAAGTTCTGGCTGTCGACCAGTTTCCATGTAGCGCAGAAAGCATCAACCATTGTTGCAGTTGTTTAGCAGCCTCTTTCCTCCCTGCAGTGAATCTAACAGCGACTCTGAAGATGGTCTGCATGCCAAATTATACTGTACCGGAGGGCGGAGACTCGAGCTGCAGCGTCAAAGCTGATTGGTTGTTCGAAACGCTTCGTGGGCGTTGATTGGTCAAAGCACAATGTCCCGTTAACAGCTTGATCATGACTGAGGGCCGTTCATAGTGTTGTCTCCGTGAGTCCGTGATTAAGACGCAAATGGAGAAAAGTGTAGTAATTTGAAAATTAAAATACACACATCAAACCCTTTTCTTAGATTTCATTCACATATCTGTTAAAACTGGATAAAGTTTGTTTTTGTGAGATATGATAGTCAAATTAATGATTTATTAATTTTGTTTAATTTTGCATGATTTTGTACACATTTAAGTATTATTTCTGGTTTAAATTTAAAATGTCATAGTTTTTGTTATGTTTGCTGTGCAGAAATAAAACCTGGGTTAATTATGAGTTTTACGGTATGACATAATTACATTGTAATTACTGATGCATAAATTAGTACATGTTGTAAACAGTTGTAAATGTTGGATCTCATACAGGTGAGGTTCATTTTTATTTTACAAACAGCTGGGTAGGCTTATCAATTTCCTCCTGGGAACAAAAAAAAATAAGTAAAAAGAGCCATATTCTAACAATTATCACTTGATACATTTATTGTTGATAATAATTCCTGCAGATACAATCAGATATTATCTAACATGATACAGCAGATGAGTCCTGACAAATAACACAAAGTTGTAATCAACACTAGTAATTAATAGTGTGATATAAAATTAAACTTGTTCTCATGTTGTAAAAAAAAATTGGCTGAAAAGAAAACACAAAAAGATTCTTGGCACTCATCAAGGCCAGATTATAATATTGAACAAATCCTCCAATCAATAAGGAAAATATTTAGATTACCTTCCCAAGTTTTTATTATTACAGAAAAGGATAATTTTACTTCCCTGAAGTTCACATATAGTTCATGCAAATGAAACATCTTATGTCCCAAAAGAAAAACAAACTGTTTATTAAGGAGAATAATTAACCAGTGGTTCCTCCACGTTCTAAGTTATAGATTTATAAGAGACCATTTATAAATGGAAGTAAACAAAGGCAGATGTTGTTTATCACACTGTGTGTCACTTCAATACTTTTTGAACTGTAGCTGAACCTAACCGAGCAGGAGTTCGAACAGTTTGAAGACAGGAAATTAAAATGATGAATTAAAAAGTAAGACAATGGCGGGGTTAAAAGTGAGTGAGCGGGCAGCAGAGGTAGAATCAGAGAGGTAGAGAGTGAGGTAGAGAGGACAAAGCAGCACTGAAGCTTCTCCACGTTAAGGCAAAACTCTCCTCTCCTTTATCACCCCTAAACATGCCCATGATCAAGATAACAACTGTTACAATGACGAGTTTATCATCATCACTGTGTGAGCAATGACGAATGATTGATTCAAACTATGGTTGATTCTTTTATTTGAAGACTTGTTAGATAGCTCAACATTCAAGAGGCTACATGTTGATTGCGATAGAACAGTATCTGTGAAAGAGGCTCCTCTTAAAAGAAGTTGTCAGTTTAGAACTACTAACCTTTAAAAAGCCCTTTAAGTCAAACTTTAGTTGGGCTGATACTTTGAGTATAAGGTCGTAAATTAGTTTTATGTTTAGTGAAAAAAATCTGGTTTCCTGGAGGCCACACCCTCTCCAAATATCCTCTGAAACATAAATGACTTTGAAGCTTGTAGATGGAGGAAGATGGCAGTTGCAGTAATATTACACAGAAGTAATGCAAACTACAGTCGATGTGCTTAACACAAATTAGATACTTCCTGTCAATGGAAGCGGGAATTTAAACTTAGACTGAACCCTAACCCTAGACTGAACAGGAATTTGAACATTTCTGGAGAAATCTAGTTAAGAGAAATGGCACAAGATTCCCATCTGTAGATTGTCCTAAAATGCAAAATGGTGTGTGTGCTTGTGAAAGTGGCTGTTATAGGTAGTTCTGATTTGTCCATGCACCCATGAGAGCAGGGTGCTATCTGAAGACCCCAACGTTGATTGACAGCGCTACCTCTGGTTTCCTGGATTTGGTCTGCCCAGTCTTCTTCTGTGGTCCGACACCGTCACAGCCTGCAGCCTCCCCTCTGAAAAAAGAATGCATTTTACAAAACGCTCTCAGACTTACTGACACAGTGTTGATGCCGTAAACATCTACGGAGCTACAGTTATAATCCCTGTAGCCCTGAAGATGTTTGGCAACCATATTTTCCCTGCAGCTGCGTGTGTCAAAGTGAAGACGTCCCACCCTTTCCTGCGTTCCTCTGCCTGCGCTCTGAGCATCTGCTGGAGCTGCTCGTCCTCCAGGGTGACAAAGTCCCTGTTGTTGTCAATCAAGAGATTCTGGGGGAGGTGGAATAACTTCTTTAAAGTTTCTTTAGCAAAACCAAAACTGACTTGATTTTAAATTACGCAAATCAAAGTGAATACCTTGATGCCAATTGTGTCACCGTCTTTGAGGTGGAATGGTGCTCCAAGTAGAGATTCTGCCCTTTTCTTCTTTTTCTTTTTTGAAACCTGCTGATTCTAGAAGTACGAATACAACATATTAACTAATAATGTGGTAGTGAGTTAGCAATACATACAAGAATACTAACTGACTGACTGCCCCTCAAACAATTAAGACAGTTTTCTTCTCTTCTCTTTTTACCCAGTTTGAGATTTCTTCCCAGGTATGTTTGTCTTGCTGGTACTTGGCCAGCAGAAGAGAGTCGGGGGAGAGGCCATAGTGTGCAGCCAAACAGGTGCGAAGACAGTGCGGAGAAGAGTCGCGGGATGCATCCCAAACCAGCTCCTCTCGGGGGTAGTAACACCTCTCCCCTGGTACTCCCATTTTAATGTTCAGCAACAACTCTTTGGGGCTGAGGAAAATAAGGGGGAAAACCAAAACTTAGCTGGAAAAAGGACAATCACATGGAGGGATAATACAGAACATGTATAAAACAGAAAAATGGGGACATCTCAAACCGTACCCAAGATCTTCCTCCTTTAGTAGCTGTTGGATACAAAGGTCTGCACCACCTGTCAGCTTCAACTTCCTGATTAGAGGAAAATACAAAAAGACAAGCTTCAAAACTTCACTGAGCATGATCTGGTGGCTGTTAAACACAAAAAGGAAGAACTGCTGATACAGGAAAGTTTTCTTACCTGAGTGTGAGTTGTTGTCCTCTGAGGATACGTGCCAGCCTCTTTCCCTCAAGCTGCCACACACGCATGAACGCAGTGGTTGGCATGCACACATGTTGAAGTGCAGGCAGTGTCAGCACCTGATGGAGGAGTAGAGGAAGTAGGATTTTCAGTTTCACTTCAGGGTTAACTCTAAGTCCAGTGAATAAGTCCAAAAATCACTGTAGTCCAAGAAAACACATCTAGGCGTTTTAATGATTACTTCACTAGAACAAACAATAAACATCAACTGCTTTGATTTACACAGAATCTTCAACCACTACCTGAGTCTTGAGATCCTCCAGAGTGGCCTCGTCTGAGAGCTCCACCTCTCCGACACTTCTCAGAGCAGCAGAGTGCGTTTCACCTGGAGTCACGACCTCCAGCATTTGCTCCTCAGAGAGGCCGTTGTTGGCGAGTTTAAAATCTGCAGAGTTGTTTCTAGGATCCAGATACAGCCACACAGATAGCTTGAGAAAGCCCTGACAGAAAATGAAAATGGAAGAGGGCTCAACAAAGAGTGGAAGGTGTAGTGTATGAGCCATTCTCAATGAAGAATCACAACATTTGAGTACCTTTGGAGGAAGTTGTCCTTCTGTGACAACCAATGTGTCTCCATTACTGATCTTCAGCTCTGACAGTGAAGCATCCTGAGAGGAGAAGTTGTTGTTAACATGAGATCTAACAGTTAAAAATATCTGAATGCATTTTTTAAAAAACAATTTACACCAAGAACCCAAAATATTTGGTGCATGAAGGTTTTGCATAGAAACTATCATGATGTTTTATCCTGTTAAACCACAGAGTCACAAAGGATGAAAAATTCTCTGATTTGAAATAAGGAGATACACCTTTCTATGTTAATTAAGCTCAAATCAAATGTTTTTTTTCTAGACATGCAGAGGCAGATCTCTTTGAAATAATCCAATCAGCTTTTGGCAAATCTTCATCATATGTTTGTAGATCATACTTGTTTTGGTACATGGGAAAGTGTCTTCATTTCAGAAAATGTCTGCTGAATGGAATATTCATGGTGCAAGATGACATTTAGAAAGTACGTTATAAGTAATACCAATTATTAAGCACCAACCAATTGCCTAAACATCTGTAATTTGGTTGAAGTACGAGATATTTTTCCCACTATAATCAGCTACTTACCTCATCCATAAGTGCCTCTCCAACCTCCTCACACCAATCGAGCCTCCTCAAGTGCCAACAGCCGTCCAGTCCAACAGCATCCAGCATTGCCTTCAGACACTGCAAAGAACAATCAATAAACAAAGAAAAAGTACATTTTACATAAGCTCATTTTTAATGATTCACAAAATAAGTAGAGATCGACTCCCTCACCTCTTTGACAGTACAAGTATTCTCCACTATTATGTCCATCTCCACGCCAGCAGAGGGCGCTGCGCCCACAGAAAAGTGCAAGAAAAGCTGCAACGCAGAGAGAAAAATCACAACATCAATCAAGCATGACCAACTCTCTTAACTCCATAATTAGTTTTTTTAAATGCTGGATAGGAAAGGTGCTTTAAGGTTCTGTCACCCTCAACCTGCGCAGCTGCAAGTACAAATGATTTACTGAAGGTTCAAATAAAAAAAGACACACCTGTGATGCCTTGGGGGCATTTCCCAGACAGAGAGTCAGTGTGGTCATGAGTCGCACCCCTGCATCCCGAACACTCGCCTCCTCACACACTGTCAGGTAAAACAAGGTACAACAACACAAATGCACTTTTAAACATGATCTTAACTTAAAACCTCAAAGTGAGATGATGAAAAGACACTTTACAAGCAGGGG